AGACATACAGACAGACAGACAGACAGAAAGGCAGACAAACAAACAGACAAACAGACAGACAGACAGAGAGCCCAGACTAAAACGGCAGGCATGAACGAACCCAGACAGAGTAGCAAAGCTAGACAGAGAATGGCCCATAAAACCCCAAAACAGTATGCAAAACTACCACACACACACACACACACACACACACACACACACACACACACACACACCCATACACACACACACACACACACACACACACACACACACACACACACACACATCAGACTCAAAACTAAGAGAAAAAAATACAGAAATCTCACCTAGCAAACAGAGAAGGGTGGAGGGAAGAGGGAAGAAGGGAGGGGAAAGAGAAAGGGATACTGGCCCTGAGGGAGCCCAGCAACAAGACCTAACACCCACCTAACTCACTACCACCATTAAGGATCATTCAGACGCCTTAAACCCGGTAATAAAGAACCTTATGTCTATCACTAGCCAGCTGCCCCGTATCCTTAGTCACCCAGTCTAGCCTAACCCGCGTTGTTAAGGTGTTGTGGGCGAGGTAAAGACACGGACATGATATCCTACCAGTGGAGGGCTTATAGTGTTGTAGGAGAGCCAAGGTTAGGTGGTGTTTGGTTGTTGTTGTGAGTTTGGAGGGGTGGAAGGTGTTGTGTGTGTGTGTGTGTGTGTGTGTGGACCGAGAGGTGTGGCGGTGTGTATGTGTGTGAGTGATGTGTGCTGGGTGTTGTAGTGTTGTATGTGTGTTGGTCAGATAGATGGCGGTGTTGATGGTATATCCTTGTGTGTGTGTGCGTGTGTGTGTGTGTGTGTGTGTGTGTGTGTGTGTGTGTGTGTGTGTGTGTGTGTGTGTGTGTGTGTGTGTGTGTGTGTGTGTGTGTGTGTGTGTGTGTGCGTGTGTTTCGTGTAGAAGACGTTAGCATAGTTACATCAGAAGACATCACCTTGATTCATAACATACACTCATCACCTCTAAACTAATTCAATATAAAACACATAAAACACTAAACATCGAAAACACAGTTACTAAATCACGAAATCAAACGAAACAACGAAATCATTACCAAAACACCTGGATACTTTTCACAGCAAATCGGTAAAATGGACGAAGAAACATCTATTTTTTTCCTCAAGGACACAGGTTCGACGCCCGACAGATGAGGGTGAAGGAGGGGGGAGGTATTGACTTTAAAGGTTTACCAACACAAGTCAGGTGAAACGGGCTGACGGGTGGGCGTGCGAGCGGGCGTACAGGTGTTAGTTAAGGGCGGCAGGTGTGTCTGACCTAGTGTGTATTGGACTCGTGTTTACCAATGGATCAGCGACGAATTTTTGATCAGCTTAGTAACCCAGTGGGAAATAAAATGAATTAAAATCATTTCTTTAGGGATCAAAGTCCAAAATAACAATAATAATAATAATAAAAACAATAATTACACTAAAATAATAACAATAATAACAAAACACAACACCATAATCATTTTTATATACCAAATCCTTGAAAAAAAATCACACTCCCGTGAAAACAAATGAGCATCACCTAAGAGCAACAACACGACCCGACCCTTCAAGGCATCACACAGGAGACCATTAGTTACGGAGATCAACACTTGCGGCGCTGTATCCCCCGCTTCCTGCTTCCACCCCCTGCTGCTGCTACACCTTCTGCCCTTCTTCAGGTTGTGGTTGTGAGGAATATGTAATTTTTCTTGTCCATTTCAACTCAGGAGAGATATTGTGTTCTGTTTACTTCCTTATGTTTCACCTTCTACCCCCCCTCCCCCCCTGTACCTCCTGCTCCTCATCCTCCTGTACCTCCTACCCTCCTCCTCCTACCCTATTCCTCCTCCTGCTCTTCTACCCTGTTCTCCTCCTCCTCTTCCTACCCTCCTCTTCATCCTGCTACCTCCCACCCTCCTCCTCCTCCTCCTCCTCCTGTACCTCCTCCTCCCTCCTCCCCCTCCTCCTCCTCCCCCCCTCCTCCTCCTCCCCCTCCTCCCTCCTCCTCCTCCTCCTCCTCCTCCTCCTCCCCACCCACCTCCTCCGCCTCCCTCCCACCTCCTCCTCCTCTCCCCCCCTCCTCCTCCTCCCTCCCCTCCTCCTCCTCCCCTCCAGATTATTTGTTAATGTGTTGTTTATGGCTCCAGGTATAATAGGATTACACAGGCCATAAGTGTGTCAGTCTACCCGAAGTGCCGCCCAGGTGGAAGGGGGGTGAGAGTGGTAGAGAGGAAGTAATTGAGGAGAAAGTGGTGAGAGGAAAAAGTGGTAGAGAAGGAGTAGTGAGAGGGAAGAGGTGGTAGAGGAAGGGTGGTGGGGAAGAAGTGAGGAGAGGAGTGGGGAGTGAGGAAGGAGTGGTGGGGAAGGAGTGGTGGGGGAAGGTGGTGGGGAGAGAGGGTGGGGGGTGAGAAGAGAGGTGGTGAGAGGAGAGGATGGTGGGGAGAGGTGGTGAGAGGAGAAGAGGTGGTGGGGGGAGAGGGTGGGGGGAGAA